GGAATCAAATTATGCCCATTAAAACATCGTTTTGCTATCGCTTTTCCTCATCGTCAAGCAGATTCGTCATTTAACGAGGTACTCATTAAGTGAGGCACCACTGTATTTGGGTTTATGTGGACCATGGAATGCAACTTTGGGGTATATATTAAAAATGGAGCAGTAGTTCTGTATTCTGTTTTTGTTTGTGCACATTGGAGATGTAAACTCTAAAAAGGAAAATGTATCAGTTGAACAGACAGAGAAGGCAGAAAACTTGTTCAGTTTTCTCTATGTGCGTGATTTTTCTCAATAAGAGTTTGTCCAATAATTCAAATGTGACTTAAAGCCATGGTTCCCAAATGTGGGATCCCAGACGTTCTAGGACTACAACTCCCAGAAGCCCTAACCACCATATTCATACTTATAAGTCAAGGTTTATAAGTAATGGTATTCCAAGAACTTCTGGGGCTTAATTGTGGCAGCCACTGACATAACGTGTTCAAGACTTATGGAAATGGACTTAGACTTAAAAGGGAAACCAGAGAGATGAAGTTCCCAAATGTGGGATCCCAGATGTTCTAGGACTACAACTCCCAGAAGCCCTAACCACCATATTCATACTTATAAGTCAAGGTTTATAAGTAATGGTATTCCAAGAACTTCTGGGGCTTAATTGTGGCAGCCACTGACATAACGTGTTCAAGACTTATGGAAATGGACTTAGACTTAAAAGGGAAACCAGAGAGATGAAGTACAGCAGTTCCAGCTGTAGGTTGGCACTAGCCATGTTCCAGAAAGTGATGTGCAAATTATGTTAATTGTATGCAACTAATAAATGCAAATCAGCTACATTTTCCTCAGCACATGATACATGCTCATTGTGGCTTTCACTGCTCAGCAAGCTGCTTATCCCCCTGATTTTAATCAAGGCCTTCTGCTGGGTGATGATGCAAATCATGATTATATTAATCTGTCTACCTTAGAAGATATGTTTAAAGAGACATACCCATTTGGGTTACTCTAGTGAAATAGGTATTAGAATTGCTATCAGAGACATTGGGTGGCAAAGAGTCTGTCAGTGTGTTATACCCTTGAAGCTGCTGAAAGACTGGAAGATATACATTACTTTAAAAAAAAACTTTTGTAGGCAAGAACATGCTTCATTGGATGCATGAGAGTACTTGTGTGAACCTGTTTCATTATTCCAGGATTCAAAGAGAAATCCTACAATATCTTTTGCTGGATCACGTTAATATGGACAATGACTGTCAATCCAATACAACTATCCTCAGACTTGCTTTGACGGCACATAACAACAACAAAGTCACAATAGCATATGAGACCTGATCTCCTGCCATGAACCAGAAAAAATACATTGGACTCAACACGAGTTCAAGTTTGGAGAGTGTCTCATTGTTCATTGTGGATCCTAGGTAATTAAAGTTCCCAGAATATGCTGGCCGTGCAAGCTAGAGGATTCTGGACATTGTAGTCCAAAAAGTAACTTTCCCAAGAGCTGATAATCCAATAGTGTGTAGAAAACAATAGGAGGAAGACAGTGATTAATAATAGATACTTAAATTGTCTTAGTCATGATTTGCAGAGAAGCAGTTGTGATCAACTACGGCAACAAAAAACAACAGTGAGTCTTGTAACACCTTAAAAGACTAAAAGATTTATTACAGCAGATGTTTTCATGGAATAGAGCCACTTCATACACCTGGTGTAAGTGGACTCTAATTCAGGGGAAAAAAATCAGTAACTATAAATTTGCTAGGTCAAAATCCTGTTGAATCTATTTCAACTAGAATAGAACTGTTGATTAAATCAGTGTGATTCCTGTAAGTGTTGAGTGACCCTTTTAGCAGTTGATTCCATGGAACTGGTACCTGGATTTAGGCCTTAGTCTGTAAGATGCGACAAGTCTCTTTGTTGCATTTTCTCTGCATTGTTATGGCTTCATATGGAATCCTGTGATGCCAAAGAAGAACTGCTGGATAGCTCAGTGGTTTAGGTCTCTGGCTGGAGAGCCAGAGGTTGGGAGTTCGATTCCCTGCTGGGCATCCTTGGACAATGGCTGGACCTCAATGATCCATAGTCCCTTCCAGCTCTGCAGTTCTGAGATTATGATGATTGTCACTGAATGTCTGTTATTTCCACCATCAGCGACAGAAATCTCTTGTAACGCCTATAGATAGTCTAATTGGTGATGGTGTTTTTAAGAGCCAATCAAAGACCTGGCTCTTTAGGCAGGCCTTCCCTCCTGTAGATAGTCTAACCGGTCGTGGTGTTTTTAAGAGCCAATCTTTAGGCAGGCCTTCCCTCCTGTCAATATTTAACTTTTACTTCTTACTTTACCTTTTCCTCACATGGCCCATCTTGAACAATACTAATACTATTGATTTAAATTGTTTTAATTGTTTTACGATGTGTTTTCTTGTAAGCCTCCCTGAGTAGACTCTGTCTAGAAGGGCGGGATAGAAATCGAATAAACAAATAAATGGTCTAGAAATAAAAAAAACTACATTGTTTTGTTATTGCATCGGATATAAGTCTAATAAACAAATAAATGGTCTAGAAAGGAAAAAAAAAACTACATTGTTTTGTTATTGCATTGTTACATGTATTTCATTTGGATGGACTCAATAAGCACTGTATTCTTTTCTGTCTTTCTAGGGACGATGCATGAACTTCACCCGAGTGCAGTCTCAGTGAAGGAAGGAAAAAAAAGCAGTGGGGAAAAAAAATCTACCCCTTCTATATTGAAACCAAAGGAAGACAATGAAGCACTTCTATGAGAACCCGCAACAGAACTTCGGTCTCTCAGACTGGGCCTTGGGTCCATTTGGTTCCACCACAAGCCACCTAACTGCTGCACTAAACTCTTCTGTCCGCCATTTTGTTTTCAAGCTTGTGACCTCACATTATATTCCTTACAGTATTATTCAATTCGTGGTGGAGACACAAAGAACGTTGGCTTCTCATGCCCAGAGTTCCCTGGGAAATCCAGTACTGAAGCTGCAAGCGAATCGCCAAAGACCTGGCTTCGGTTGTTCCGCTAGTTGAACTATGGCTCCTCAAGCCTCTATGTGCCTCAAGTCAGGAGCTGCTTTGTTTCTTGGATGTGAAGACGGCACTTGTTATTTAAATAGGAAAGTATTTGCCACAGGCATAAGACTGAAATTCCCACCAGGCTTGAAAAAAATGTAAGAGTTCATTGCCTTGCAGCGATGTCATATCACTAAATCCTTCCGAGTCCCATCTTCTCTCCCGCCTCCATCGGGTTGTGCCTTACGGGAAACTTCTGACTAAAAATCTTGTCACTTTAACACTGAGCCGTGCGCATGCATGACAAAATGTAGACACAGCGCCTCAAGGTATTGGTGGCAAGCAAGACTTTGCCCTTTAGTTTCTGAAGACACCTTTCTTTCATTATGCACCCAGGACAGGATGAAAAATTAATAGAGCGTTATTCTCCAGGAAGACAGCCTGAAACCAGAGGTCTTGAGTGGAGATCGAGGGAACTAATGCTTCAGGGTCTTGGCACTGTGGCTAATATTTTCCCCCCACCCTTCTCAGTGTCCAGCATTCAGTAGTGCATAGAAATATTACCCTCTGTAAACATACCTAGCAGTTCTATTATTATTATTATTATGAAATTGGAGGGGGGGGGGAGGGAAACCCAGCCCCACAAAGCTGGTATCTCAGGGTCCGTCTCTTTCTCCTCCTCCCTCTCCATATCTCCAAGGGCTTTCAGCCTCACAAACCAGCAACTCTCTTTGCATGAGAATTTCAAAGTTTAATTAATATAATTAAAGGCAACAGCAAGCAGCAGCCTGTGAAGGTTTTGCTCATCTTTTTTATGCCTTTTGACATTGAATGACCTATTACTGTATGCGCATTACTCAGTTTTTGAGGGGGTACCATGCCTTTGGTGGAGATTTAGCACTGGGGCCAATGAAGAAAAGAGGGAGGGAGGGAAGAAAAGGCAGGAGACCTCCTTCCCTCAATTTATAAATTAAATATACAGGATTGCCGGCCATCAGAAAACGTTGACAAAGTATGTATTATAATAATTTTTTTTTAGAAAAAACCAGCGTTGTGTCACGTCGGCGGTGCCAAATTATGTTAGCGTGAGTGGAAACACTGTGGGGGAGGAAAGAGGCAGCAGCTGAAGAAAAAAGCTCAAATGATCCAGTCACTTTCGATACTGTACTTCAGATGCAAAATGGATATTCGAGTCGAAACCTGACAAAGTGCGCCTACTTTGATGGCAACCGGTATAGACAATGACCAGTGGCTGGGTCAGTGGGATGTCTCTCTGCGAGCAGGGAGGCTTATCAAATGACACTAAAAATAAGTTCAGCAACCATCACGTTTGAGGGGAAAAGGCGAACATTTCACGTTTGGTGGGCATGCATGTGCGCAAAACGGGAAAGAGCGAGAGGGGGATGAGTGCTGGTCTAATTATCTCCTTTGTTGTTTTTCATTGAAATCTCAAGGGACTTGAAATCATTCCCTTGGTCGATGGCCAAATTTACGGCTCTTCCCAACCAGGACTTCCACCACGACGCCTCTCGCTTGCATCTGTTATTGGCTTGAGATTATTTACGCTACCAGTAGCAATGTCGACACCCCCCATGAGAGCTCGCATGAATAAAACCCTCTACCTTAGGTTCTATTACAGGTCATTTCTCTCTTTTATTTACACCCCTCTTTCCATTGCCATTGCACCAGTCGACTGGAATTGCATTCTCCTCTAGCTGCTGGCTGCATCCAGTAGACACACCTTCCATCACAAGTGTTCCAAGAAGGCATGTCACAGGCTAACTCAGGGGATTTCTGCTCGTACAATTATTTAAATTCGTCAGATGCTACAGCATGGGAAATACGCAGTGTTAGCAATGTGAATAAAACGGGAAAAGGTACCACCACCATGCTTTCCTGCACACTGTAGCAGGAGAGAATTCTACTTTTAAGACAGGATCTTCAGACCATCAGGAAAGGAATGTAATGTCATTCATTTCACGTACACAGAAGTTGCACACATGTAATTTCTCCACAAGTGAATATTTAGTTTACTGCAAATCCTTGGTTAAGTCTGTGTGGAACCTGATATACATATTTTTTTGCTCATGGTGAAAAGCAAATCATGTACACTTCGCTAATTTGCTGCTCTGAATTTATCTGCATAGATGATACTTTAGATCTAGATACTGAACAGTCCACTACTGCATTAGAAATAAATTCACATTCCATATATAATGAAAGTATTTGAACCAAGATGTTTAGAAAGACAGTTAACTTTGTACTTTCCTTTAAAACAGTATATTAGATACTTTTTTAAAAAGGGGGAAAACAGTAGCTATGGCACTTGTGAGAGCAAAGAGTTTCATAAAATTAACATTTAAAAGAAAGTGGTAATATATTTGTAGAATTAAAAAGACCATATTTAAATTTGACCGTATATTTCAATTTTTTTAATGTAAGAAATAAAAGACTCAACATTTTGATAATTTATTATTATAGTGATTTATGCAGAACAGCAACAAAGGTTTCTCAGGGTCTAACATTGCTTTGATTTCATTATTTTATGAAACTCTTGTTCACTGAAAATAATAATTTCACAGATACATATATTTGAATGTTGGTTAAAACGGGACATAATGTAAGGGAAGACCTACTTTTCAATGCCTCTGGTTTAACAATAGCACAGCAGTGTTTACCAAATTTATGCTTCCACACAAATGAACCAAAGTATTGTTAATTTAAAATGTTTATTAAAGTTATATGTTTATTAAAGTTATATGTTTACAAAATTACAAGTTGTCTTTATTACTATTCGGATTTCACAGAATAGTTATTGGGATCATAATACTTTGGGAAAGTAAATATGGACTTCATTCCTGCAGCATCAGAAGGTCATTCTGAAAGCTGAATTTGGGGAAATAAATAGCCATTGATTTTTCAGCACATTCTCAGACTTGCACAAGAGAGACCTGAATGTGACAGAACTAAAAACATCAGAAGGGACCTTATCCTGTGTGTGCATTGGTCTGTGTATGTAGTTTTGTACTGATGCCTCAATTTAGTTCCAGTCTCTATCATGGTATTCCAAACTCCATACTGTGGATTTTCCTATGTAATATGTGGAGTTTTTATGCAGAGTTGTTGCTATGTGCCATTAAATTGAAAACGATTTATAGTGACCCTGATGGGTCTTTCAAAGTAAGTGAGATACTTAAGGAGTGTTTTTTACCACTTCCACTTTCCTAGTAAGTGTCCATTGTTGAGTGGGGAATCAAACCCTGGAATAAATTTGTTAAGGTTGTCCCAATACTTTTTTTTCTGTGTTAATTATAAAGTTAAGTTTAAATCCAAAGATATGTGATTATTCCATTCTCATGTAAACGTAATGGTCACAAAAGATCTAAAAGGTGTCCTTACTTAAATTCTGCTGAAAGCAGTACAATACTAGTGTGTGTATCCATATAGCTAACATGAATCATTATTCATATTTGCTGCATAGCACTGATTCTTGGAAGAGAAATGAAGGGTAATAAAAGCGAGCTGCTTCCTTCTCTGTCTTAAACACCTTATTTTACTTCCCCATTTTTTGTAACATATAATCTTATTATAACAATATCAAAGCTCATCAAAACATTTCAAATGTTTCATTTTTCTCCTTACACTAATAGTCACCATAGCTTGGTAAATCTGACAGATATTTTGAAATGAACACAATATTATTTATCCTGTCAATTGTAACCTAGAATATATGCTGTTAAAATGCTTTCATTGTTAAACACTATCATTTTCACTGTGGAAAGAAGAGTTTAGTTTTGACGTTTCGGTCAAAAAGTCCAACTGGTTACAGAAGATTCTACATATAATGCAGCTTTGTAATCAATTACTTAGGGTTATCCTATGAAGAACATGAAGGGATGACTGGGTACTTTTAAATATGAGGTGTATTGTGTTGCTTTGGCATTATGTACATTTTAAAAAGAAACAGATGAAAAAAGTGATGGCTAGAGAGTGAATTTCATGAATCTACCTACCATGTGTGGCTTCTCATGATGCCATGTTTAAAACTGCCGTCCTGCTGTCAAGTCTCTGCTCACGACTTGGTTTCGACCCCAACAGGCTCAGGTAGCTGGTTCAAAACCGACTCAACCTTCTGTCCTTCCAAGGTCAATAAAATGAGTACACAGCTCACAGGGGTGGGGTGGGGGGGTTTACTCTGCATAATTAAAATTATAAACAACCCAGAGAGTGTTTTAAGTGCTATGGGGCAGTATATAAGCAGCGCAATTCACTTTGCTTTTTCTTCAGAAATTCATACTTTCCATTCTGCCTCTGCTGATCCTCTCTACCCATCTTGAACAACAGTTTGTGTTCTTCTCCAGCTGGACATTTTGGCCCCAGTCTGCTGCTTTTAACCACAGGAGCCCTTCAATACAGCCTTCAATCCCCTTCTCTCTTCTGTGACTTCAGTTTATCGCATGCTATCAAGTTGGAACCAACTTACAGTGACCCTAATAGGGCTTTCAAAGTAAATGAGCTATTTAAGAAGGGATTCTGCCACTTCCACACTCCTAGTAAATTTTCATGGCTAAGGAAGGATTTGAACCCAAGTCCTAACCCATCACTCTATCCACTACACCACACTGGGTATCCGTATCTTAAATTATAACATCTGTAAATTCAAATCAGCCAGCCAAGGAGTCCAAGATTATTAGCTTGAACCTCAGTGTGATCCTCCTTCTCTTACTCTCTCAATTTCTTCCAAGTGAATACATACCCAAACACACAAAAGTACAATTCTAGTGTCATCATGTCAGTCTTCAGAAGCTAAGTAGCACCAAGCTGGGTTTGTTTTTGGATGGGCAATCCCCAGGAAGGAAAAGGAATCTGTAAGTACAGCTCGGGAAAGAATTCTGCCACTAACTCTGGAGAACCATTACTGTCTTTCAGAGTTGGGAATGCCAATGATCTGACTCTGTATGAGTCAACTTTTAATATTCCTATATTAATGGTTTCAGGTGCTTTACTTTACTCTAAAGTAGGGATGGAACAGAATTCGGATGGTTGAGAGTTTCTTTCCTAAATTATCCGTTTTGCAATTCTCAAGACTTGGTGCATGATAAAAGCTCATTTTGCCTTAGAAATCTGCTTATCTGCAAGACTTCCACTATGATTTGGAGGAATAAAATATCTACACAATCATACATGCATTTTTTTTAAAAAAAACAACAAGGAAATTTCTGCAACTTTAAAATATGCACAAACATAGAAAGTGCATGCAAAAAATTTGCATTAGGAAAAAATATGTAAACATATGTGTACATTAAGGGAAATTAAAAAAAACCATGAATTGAAGAAAGCAACCAAGTCTTGCAATCTGATAGGAACAAAGACGAGACAGGAATACAGGTAAGGTTGAAAGTAAAGCGATGAACTCAATATAGACATCGTAATATAGACTTTAGGATAGTACCCCTTTAGGATAGTATCAGGGCCAATGTGGGCAGGTGGGGGGATATTTAAATGTTTCTGCATCTCTTTTTTATTAAAAAAATTGTCTGCAATACGCAGATTTTAACACACACAAAAAACGCTCTATGGTATCACCCCACAGACATGTTTACAACTTCTATGCAGGGGAAAGAACACATTTATGGATTAAAAAACAGACAGGGAAGTTTAAACCTCCCTCTCCAATGTGTGATAGATCCAGTTTGACTAGGCTCACATAATTTATTTAGCATAAGATGCTGCATACTAAGATGCAGATCTCTGTAATAAGCACAGTGGAAAGAACTTGGAATTAGAAAAAACTGAATACGGGAAAAAGCAAAAATGACAAGATTTTCCCATCAAGACTTAGTTCTTAAAAGCATTTGAGCATGTAATTCTTATAATTCTGCCTTTGTATTCTGTCAACAAACAGAGGTGTATCTTTGGGATGCCGAATTCATGTTGCAGTTACTTCTTCAGGTCAGTTTTTCATCCTTAACAACTGCCTAACAGATGCGTGCAATATGAGCCACCTACAATGGGAATACAGCTGAAAGTACTGGATTTTACCAGTGTAAATGGATTTAGGCAATGTTGCTTTTATAAGAATGCACTAGGATTTGCAAATTACTTTTTAAATCTAGTAGAAAGAATGAGAATTTTTTTTTTTAAAAAAAAAGAAAAATAAAGGAATTTTGGAACACGGTGGCAATGACAGACAGATGTAGGCACTGGTAATCTCCCAGATTGACTTCTGCAATGCTATCTACGTGGGGCTTCCCTTGAAGATCACCTGGAGATTACAACAGGTCCAGAATGTGGCAGCCAGACTGGTAGCTGGTGTGAGCACATCACCCCAGTTCTGGCTCGCCTATGCTGGTCCGCACCCACACCCAACCGACCAGTCCACTCATGGGTCGCCACATGTCATGTGCAGCCGTAGCCAATGACGGAAGCAGCCCAGCTGGCTTTCCCCCACCTCCACATGCAGCCAATCACTCTGGCGAGGAGGCATTACGGGGCGTCTTCACACAGCACCCCAGTTCTGGCTCGCCTATGCTGATCCCCGCCCACACCCAACCAACCAGTCCACTCATGGGTCTCCACATGACATGTGCAGCCGTAGCCACTGACGGAAGCAGCCCAGCTGGCTTTTCCCCACCTCCACATGCAGCCAATCACTCTGGCGAGGAGGCATTACGGGTCGTCTTCTTGCTCAGCTGTTGAGCAGTTGGCTGCTTGGAGAGGTAGGGAAGAGCTGGCCGGGCTGCTTCCGTGAGTGGCGCAACGACAAGGATGGCAGCATGAGCCACATGGCGCCCCATGACTGGACCAGCCAGTTCCAGGATGGGAGGGGGGAGAGATTGGATTTTGCCAGCACCTGTGGGGCCAATATTCTTATTCTTATCCCCAGGGATAAAAATATAAATATCTTATGTCTAATGTTCACACATAAAGCCAACCACAGTTTGGGACCACAATACTTTTCAGAGCATCTTTCCACAAAGTTAACTACCCACCCCTACCAAATCATCCCAGGCCATGTTCTCCAGGTGGCTCCTCCAAGGGAGGCCAGAAAATCAGCCCTAAGGGACTGGGCCTTTTTCACAGTGGCACCTACACTTTAGAAGAACCAGGTGCTGGTGGAGCTCCACCTGACCAATCTTCCTCCTAGCCTTCAAAAGGCTTCTGAAGACAAGAACCAGCTGCTGGTGGAGCTCCGCCTGAACACCTCCCTCCTAGCCTTCAAAAGGCTTCTGAAGACTTTGCTTCGTAGAGAATCCTTTTTAATACAATCCAGCCTGACCTTACACCTCCTGTCTTGTTCCCTGCATTTAGAGAATACAGCTATTATTGGTTGTATCTTGTTTTTTATTTGATTCAATAATTTGATTTTAATTTCTATTCTAAATATTTTATTACTATGTTGTAAACCGCCCAGGAAAATGCTATGCACTAATGGAATGGAATGGTATGGAATATAGTGTAGTGTAATAGAATGAATGAATGACTTGGAATGAATGAATGAATGAATGAATGAATGAATGAATGAATGAATGAATGAATGAATGAATGAATGAATGGTCTACTTCTGATCCAAAGTTTTAAACAAGAACTGTACTCAAACCATTGAGGAAAATGGGTGGATTGGACATAACTGTCTTATTTCCAGAGAAAACCTCATATACAAAAGATGCATGTACCCCAGTTATGCACATAAACACTATCCAATTGACTTCTTGCTATGATTTTTGAATCTCCACTTTGGGGACAATGCAAAAACATAAACATGGGG